TTTATATATGTTTGGAAGGACTTTATTTTCTGCTTTACACTTGATAGTCTTGGAAAGTTTTCCTGTTGGAAAGCATGTCTTCTGCTGCAAATCAAGTGGCAGGATACAGGCAAATCTGTGCAACGTAGAATTTTTAATGTCAGTAATTGCGGTGGTGTCACTGTCTGCTGTGTCAGGGCAGTCTTCACACCACCATATTTCATTTCCAACTCTTATGTCCTGTTTGTGCTGCTCTGAATTTCTTAACTTTCGTTACTAAAAATGTAAGTTCAGCAAGGTCGCTGACTAACCAAACCAGCATCCCTTCATCCCACTGATTCTTGATCTAACTCTGTATTGTTTCATCTAAGGAGTTCTATGGTCCCCTGTTTAGACTTTCATGTTGCAAAGACTTGGGTATCTTCGTGTCTTCTTGACTTAGCAGTTGATTTAACATTTGAACTAATTTGTTTTTCCTGTTAATGTCACTGTCTGAAACAACTTACTTCTTTCATCTTGTTTCTTAAAATATTTGATACTTACTAGCTAAGTAGAGCAACAGTGTGATGGTCTAGAAGCTTGCTTCTAGGTTGACTCGGTAGTAGTTGTGTATTTGGCCATAGTTTATGAAAGATCCTCCAGATTCTGATGCTCCAAACATACTGAGCTCGGAGGTTTCACGAAGACCCAACTGACTTGAAACACATAAGTTGCTCTTCAGACTTGACTCCCAGTTGTCAGTCTCTCGAAAATTACCATGTGCACATGATAATGTGCACTGTAACTTTGCACACAGTTTCTGAAGTTCATTGTAGCAATACTTTGATCTGTTACTTACTTTCACACAGAAGAGGGACAAGGGAGCCTTTGAAACCAGTCTAATCCAGGGTTTAGTAAATGTAACTATATGTTATGTAAATAATACTCTGGAAAGTTATAATTCGAGTTTTCATTTCAAGATAGTTGGAAATCCATTACATTTGCAAGAACATGAAGATAGTATATTCTAAAGTGAAGTTACTCAGAAAATACAGTGGTATTTTTGAGTTTTTAAACTGGTGGATCGTTTATAATTAATCTGAAACTTCCATATTGCAAACTTCTGCATAAAGCAGGAATTTAGAATCAGTTCTTGAGAATAGATTTTTCTGGTGTATAATACTCATAAGTTGTGTATTTCATCTTTAAATGGCTGATGGGAAGGTAAAATTAGTCTCATAATGTAACCAGATTCTAATGTACATACTACTCAGCAAAAGGAATTTGTAGTCCTCCAAACTGAATTAAACATAATGTTAATACATGAACATTTATGCATCTGTGGTAGTAATTATGTCTACAACTTTAATTGAGATTGTGTGGCATGTGCTGCATTTAATTTGTCCTTTCCGTTCAATTTTTCTCTATTGAGAATTAGGTTTAGAAAATGGGAAGATAAATTAACAACACACCTGTGAATCTGTGTAGTGCAAATGTGAATTTTTTAATATGTGGTTGGAATATCCTATGAGGATTTTTTTATTCAGGTTTACAACATAATCAGAGAAGTGATAACCTCTTTGGCCATCACATTTGAGTGTCCAGATGTTTTAGGAATGGCATATACCAAACACATCATCTATTTGCAGAATTTTCTACAGATGTAAACTGTGAAGTTGATGCTTAAATGGCTAATGGACCTTAAAGGTTACCTTTTAAAAGAGTTTTTAAGGGGTTTCTTTCAACCTTTTTTTTTTTTTTCTAATTGCTCTTTGCTTTGGAAGGGAGTTAGGATTGTGGATTTGGATTTTGGATGTGGTCCTTGGTGTAGCTCTGTCTGCCTGTTACCTTAAACCTTGATTTCCGTGAATCTTTAGTTTGTAGTGGCAGAAATTTGCCTGTTTGTAGCAGTGAAGGCTGGCAGGGAGCACCTAAGACTGTGTGAGGGAGGGTTTTACTGGTGCTGCAGTTCACTCACATGTTCATCCCACGACTGGGATTTGGTTTTCTGTGTCAGAAACTGAAAGAAAGACTTTCTTGGTATAGAGTTCTGACATTTGTTACACTACTGTTTGAATTACTTTGCCATCACAGTTAGTTGCAGACTGTGTCCTTTGGATGGGGACCTTCTTCATTTTCTTTTGAAAAGCTAAAAAACATATATGAAGCAATTTTCACATGGAAATAAATTGTGGAAACAATGTCTACTGATGGTTAACAGCAGAATAGAAGGGTTCTTATTTTTTTTAGTTCTCTAGTTGTTGCAAATAAGATGTTTTTTCTGTTTATTTGACCCGTTGTATCCTATCTAGGTTAAATTATTAAAATGTATTCTGGAGCTAAATTGGCATTTCCTTTTAAATGCTCTGTCTGGTAACTGTTTTTTAGTTCTGAGTGAGCTAGAGGAAGATCATTACATGCTTTGCAGTGACCTTGAATAACTGTCAAACTCCAGGTGATCCAGGGACCAACTTAGCCATTGTCTCCCCTTTACTGACCTGCTGACCAGAAAACTTAGGGCACAACTGAATGGCAGTGGCTGTGTTGTGTAGAAGGCCTCTATTTGTGAGGTCTTTTACAAGAAGATAATCTGAAAAAATTATCGTTTACTTCCAGAAATTGTTAATTTTAAAACAATTCCATTGCTGTTTTTCTAAAATTGCTGCACTTGTATCATTGTGTGCTGAGGGGTGGTTGGTTCTCAGGCACTGACAGAGAACTGTTTGTTCCTGATGTCTGAACCACAGGTAGTGCCTCCCAAAATGGTGGGGGTGGCGGGGTGGGCACCAAATCATCTGTTAATGCTCAATGTTTAAGTAAATCTCAAATACTGTATACTCAGAAATGTGTTTGATCTAATGTTTGCATGCACATGTCCCCATAAGCTGTTGTTTTAGTGAAGCTCTCAGGTCATTGTCCCTGGTATGTGAAACACTGAGTTCTGTTCTCAGCTGCTGCATTGTTGGTATAGTTCACTTTTAATGAGGATTTCTTTCTAATTTTATTCTGACCTGACTAGATTGCTGACAGTTGCTGTACACCTGTACACTCAAGTGACTGCTTTTTTCATCACTGCTACCCATAAACTGCAGTTATTTGAATTCCAAACTGAATTGGGTATGAGTTTTTGGCTGCTGGTGGCATCTCCTTTTCTTCTTTGAAATGAAATCTCGTGTTACGCATGAATAAAAAAAACCAACACAACATAGAGAAAAATGTGCAGTGCTATACATTAATTTTATTCTGCATTCTGCAGTCACACAGTTCTTTGTGTGTTACTCTTCACATTATTTGTGTTTCTGCCCTCCAATGCCTGTTCCTTTGCTCCCAGGGATGGTGCTGGTGCGCACGGACGCGGGACAGCTGGTGATGGTGCCCCAGCAGGCTCTAGCCCAGGCTCAGATGCAGGCTCAGGTGCAGACACAGGGACAGGGCCCTGCCAACCTGTCACCCAGGCTTTCTGTGCCCACCACTGGCCCTGTTTTTCGCCTGTCAACAGCTCAGGTATGTCTGGCTTGGTTTCACTTCACCCTGGTGCAGTGTTTTACTCTGTCCTGCACATCATCAGCTCATTTATTGTTGCAACTTTGCCTTCGTCCCTTTTGTGTTGTGAAAACAGGAAATACTTAAATGTAGTTTATTTTCTGAGGATTTTTATTTATTTCAGGAAAAAAAATCTACTTTATAAAGTCCCTCAAGACCTTGTTCAGACTGAGGTCACTGGAGGGTAGGAAGCTCAGTGGTGGTTTGGACTGGTTTAGTGAGAGCCCCTTGCTGCTCTAATCAGAAGGACTGTGGTATCCCACTGTGCTGACTGACTGCCTGGGATAACTGGGTTTCACTGGACATTAGAAAAGAAAAAAAACAAGCACATTCTATACAAGGATTGGCAATAATTAACTTTTTAAAATATACTTTATTCAAAACAAAGATTTGATTCCTTTGATTCACCTCTGGGTCTGATCTGTCTACAGTGAAAGTTTTGTCTGTGTCATGAATATTCTTCCTTTTTTCTAAGGATTGACAGGACAGTGTGCTTTGCTATCCCAAACTCTTCAGTGGAGTGTGTTCATTTTAACTCGGACTGATTTAGTTTCAAGGGTGAAGGTGTACTATATTTTAAATTGCTTTGAAGGCTTCATTGGTTTAAGAGTTTCTAAGGAGGCAGTTTAGCTTTGGGCCATTTGGAGCTAGGGCTGAATGTAGAGGCAAACATTTTTGGATATTAGTACAGGGCAGCTGTTTAGACAGAGTTTAAGGTATTTGCCTAAGGTCTGTGTTTGCAGAAATGATCAGTAATTCTGAGGAAAGGAGATGAAGAGGGTGCCTGTATTATTTTCCAGTTGTTTTATAAGTTGCTTCAAATAACTATAACAGGTATTTTCCAATATTTAACGTTTGATGACTGACCCATTGTGTGCTTTATGCATGACACCATATTTATGTTCTCAAATATTATTGTTTAATTAAAAACTGAAAACAATGATAAACTTTTCAGAAGAGAAGGAAGCCAGAATAAAATCAGAGAATGGAAAGGAAGTTAATAACAAGAGGCAATCTAAACCACAGAGTAGCCAACTACAGTGTAAGTTTTAGAAATGAGTGTCACAGGGAAGACTGTAGCTCAATGGAGTGTATCTCAGGAAAGACATAAATGAAAGCCTGGAAACACCTGGAAGAACTTTGTGCTCTCAGAAAAGAGGTAAGTGCAGGATTGGATGAAATTTGTAAAAGAACTTTTTGCAGAAAAGGCAGTAATTTAATGTTTAAATTTGTGATATCTGGAAGGATAAGAAGACTTGTAGAAGCCTTCAAAGAGAAATGTATTCCAGGAAGAAGAAACACAGAGAGAAGCCTGTGTTCATCTAGAGATTTTTTTTTTCACTAGTTCCATGACAACAAAGTTGCAGACAAGTTCTTCTTTTGAGTTTGTGTGCCTGTCTTTGGTTGTTTGGGGCTTTCTTTGTGCCTAAGAACAATCACTTCTTTAGTGGTTCCTGCAGGCACACATTCTAGCAGTGGGTCCTGAGACAAGTGCACAGTGTAACTGCACAACTGAAGCTGTGGGGTGGGACTGCACCAAGAATATCACCTCAGTCTGTTCAAGTGAGTTAGTTTTAGCTGTTTCTCTTCCATGCTGGTAGTTTTTATGTGACTGTAATTTGCTGTGGCCAGCATATAGAATTAAAATTCCCAACAGATATTAACAAATTGTTTGTCATTTTTAAACTTCTGAGGAACACACCTAGAATAGGAAGGATGCAAACGTGCAGCCTGACTGCTTGGCTCTGTGTTCAGTGTTCAGTGTGCATCCCCAAGTCAGCCTTAAGATGTGTGCCCAGCAAATGCTGATCATGTTGGCCTCAGGCAGCTGTCCTCTAGCTATATGAGGCAGTTGAGGTTGTAGAAAGAGTGTAATTTGACTTGATGGATTTATATAAAAATAAAACCATGAGGATAGTGCACGTTCATGTATTTGCAGAATCAGCTGAAACCTGGAGGAGTTCAGGTGTAATTGTTCTTGTGCAGGGTCTGCCCAGATAAATACCCCCCTGCATTATAGATCCTCCTTTCCCCTACTTAGTGCTAACAAGATGGTTGAGAATAGAGGAAACCAGCAAGGCCTTATGAATGATAAATATCTTGTAGGATGCAAAAGTTTGATTATTTTCATGTAGTGGGATTAGAATAATGAGGCTGTAGCTTGTCAGGATTCATGTCCTCTGACAGATCTTTGTGGTAGCTGCCCAAACTGTACTGGATCATCTCTGTATTTGTTGTAATTAACAGGGTTAAGAAATTATTATTATTTTTGTCCTTGGGAAATTCACATTGAACTTCCCTGACTCTGCATGTGATCTGCAGGCTCTTCTTTCATTGTGACAGTGCTTATGTTTTATATATGTTTGACCTTAGAGCAGTCTTTAAAAATTGTGATTGACAGCCTTTTAGAACCAGATTATAAAGGTTTAAATTCTAAAGGTTTATCTTATCAGAACTAGACCTGAGACTTTTATTTGATTTGGTGAATGGTTTATAACCAGAGATTGTTCACTGGTGACAAATATTATGCTCAGGTTTTGGAAATGTCAGTTATTTGTCTGAGTAGTCATTATAATTAATCAGTAGAGGGATCAAGTTCTAAAACACAGGAAACTGTTTGCACTGAAAAATAATTTTTTAGGTGAGTTTATGATTAAGCTGTTTTCTTTCACAATCTATTTCTGATGTGTCAGAACGCTGTATTCTGTGAATTTAGATTTTCAGGAGAAGTTTAAAATCAATCAGAAGTAACATCTTATGTTTTTATGTCTATAAAGTATAATATTCAGGAGTCACTGTGACTGAAACACAGAAAAATTCTGGTGCCATTAGATCAAGAGAGACAGAAAATAAACATTAATTGCCTGAGTCCTGCAGAGTATTTTGTGAGATGGATGAACATGGCAGGCTGTGCAGTTTTAACCTTTCTCTCTGATGTTAGTGGAATGATCATTATTTTACTGTGCAAAGCTCAAATTTATTACTATGTCTTCAGCTATTTTAAGATACCTTTATTTGGATTAAAATGCAGGGTGATTTAAATGTGTAGAACTTGGTATTGTACCTTAGTCTCTGAGTGTGTGTTTTACTCTGCTTTTACCTATGTAGAAAGTCTACACAGGTGGAAATCTGCAGTCTGCCTTAAGGAGTATAGGAAATAATATCTTATTAAGATAATGTATGAGAAGAAGAAGAATGTATGAGGAAAAGACATGGCTTTCATGTTTCATAACTACGATGGTTGCTTTTCTTGAGATTGTTCTACTTCTTAGCCAGTGTCAAGTGCCACAAGTTACTCAGCTAAGTGATTGTTTTCAGTGTTAATTTGTATATACACTTCACATAATTGTTGTGTGGAGAAAGTGTAGTTAGATGTAAGACACAGGATATTAAATAACATGCCAAAGAAATTGCAAAAGCTGACAGTTACTTTTGGCAACTCGTTAAGAAGTGTTGAAAGTGATAACTGGAGAATATAAAATGGATTATGAATTGCTTTCTTTAAAAATAGAAAAAAGAGTGTCTGAAAAATTGCCCAACTGTTCATCTAAATTTCAAAGTTCTTTGATTCTCTCCCCCTGAACTGAGTAATTTCTCCATTCTCCAAAAGGGAGGAGGGGAAATAAGACAATGTTTGCAATGTTCTTAAATGAGATTGCCTCGGTCGGTGCACCCAGAGCTGTTCAGGTTCTGAGCCACTTCTGCAGCCTGGCAGCACTGCAAGGGTTTTGTTCCCATATCCCAGGGCCATCATTTGCTAGATCTTCTCCTGGATGTTTTGGAGGGCAAGGAACCAGGTTTCCCCTGTCAGTTCCTCTGGGTTCAGCAGCTGGGCTGGTGTCTAGGACAGTGTGTGAGGAAGGAGCCACCTTTCTCCAGGAACAATGGAAGCTGCTGAAACAGGGCAAGAGTGGTCTGGTTTTTGCCTGAGACAGGGAAAGTGTAGTCTTGTTTTCCCTGAGGAATTCCTCCAAGGGCTTAAGTAAAGGCTTTCCTTAAAGATCAGTGGCTTTGTCCTTATTTGTTGCCTTGTTGAAGGTTCAGAAGTCAAATACCTGTATCCTGTAGTATTTAGTTTTGTAGGGAATGGATACAGCCACCCCTCTGCCCTTCCCAAGTTTTAAAAAAAGATGTATTTGGACTGCAGTACCAAACAGAAAAGTTCAGGATGATTAGGATACAGAACTTGCTGTTCATCCCACAGGGCTCTCTCTGCAGGTGTGCAGGGAAGTCCAGTCTTTGCATGATAAAAAGATGAGCCTTTCAGTTGGGCAGTCAAGGAACACAGTTGATGTTGGCTTAAATCTGATGTTTCTTACATTGTGAGTGCTTGGATTTGTTATTTGGTATTTGACTTCTACTGACTGTAATACCTTTGTCTCATTTTTTACAGCTTTTAGGAGTAGAGGATGGAGGCAAATGTTTTATGTTAGGTTCTTGGGAGAAGAGAGGCAAATCCATTTAGAAAGGAAGATTTGGGTTCTTCTTGACTCTTAGGTGGGATAATCTTTGATTAGATGTTTAGTTATGCTCCTCTCAATTACTGCTGTGTAAAGCATGAATAAAATCTGGTGGTTTAAATTCCTGGTGGAATTCTGGAAAACTGGCACATGGAGTCAAGCAAGTACCTTGTAGGGAAGGTCTCAGCTGTGATCAGTTTAAGGCTGAGCTCAAAGATGCTGGAGCAGGGACACGTGTCCCAAAAGGATGGAGAGTGTCTGCAGCACAGGCAGGAGCAGTGAAGGGGATTCAGTCCCAAGAATCAGAATCTGAAGGTGACAGAACAGTCCAGAGAGAGCAGTGATTGAGAGAAGCACCTGCAATAGAAAGATGTACTTGATATTTTAATGATCTTTTACATTTGCAGTCTTTCTAGTTTCTTTAAAATATTCAAGAAAAACATGAATAGGTGCAACTGGAGCTTATAGTAGTTTTAATTTAGTTCAAAGTAAAAGATTGGA